CAATGCGATTGGCACAGGATAGAGCAGGGTTTAGGGCTGTTGTACATAGGGTCACTATGAGTTGCAAATGACTCGATGGCACATAACAACAACAACATAGTATTTACAGGAACAAAGTACACATTCCAGAGGTATATGTTGTTATGTGCTGTCGAGTTGCCTGAGACATAAAGCAACTTTGAATCCTGACCCAGTCTCACTAATCTGACACACCAACACTATTGCCCCAGCCACTATATCAATCTATCTCATCCTGGATCTTCCTCTTCTGCACTGTCCCTCCATCCTTCTGAGCATGATATCTTTCTGCAAGAATCAGTTGGTCCTGGCTACATGTCCAGCGTATCTGAGACAGAGCTCCCAAATCCTAGTGGTTTCACTCTCTCCAACACAGACCAGTTTATTTTCTTGGCAGTCTTTTAAGACTTCTCCAGAACCACAATTTGAAGGCATCACTTCTTTCTGTCATCCTTAGTCATTGTCTAGTAAGTAATTGTGAAGACCATGGCCTGGATTAGGCACATCTTAGTCTCTAGAGCGACATCATTGCTTTTTAGTACTCAGGAGAGGTCCCTCCCAGCAGATTTTCCCAATGCTAGCTTGGTGAATTTTCAAGAGCTAGATTTCTCCATTAAATGCAGAACAAACCCCAAAATACTGCCTATACTCCAAAACCTTCCTCATGCTGCTTCTGATCTCTAGCCCCATTCCTTCTTTCCCTAAGAATAATCTCTAGTATAAGCATAGATGCATTTTGCATCCTTCATGACTTATTATAAATGAAATTTTATAATGTATATTCTTTTCTTTTGATTAACTTTATATTGCTAGAATTTTTTCATATTGTGGATTGTGATGATTTCTTTATTTTCAGTGCTAGATGGTATTCTATTTTGTGATTATATCCCAATTCATTCTCCTACTTTTGGACATTTTCATTTTCTTTTGAAAAATGTATAAATTTTATTATTAGGTTCTTTTTATTGAAAAAATTTTAACATTTCAGTGATA